CCCCTTCTGTTCATATCTTAACAGAACCCCAAGTCCCTTCACCTCTTATTACAACAGAAACCCCTCCAACAGAAAACCCTCAACCCCAATCCTCAGAACAGAAAACCCCCACCTCTCCTCACTCATCCAATAAGAAAACCAAATCACCTTGCAAAGAACTTATCCCTTTCAGAAACCGCTCCTCTTCACCTCCACCATCTCATACTCAACAGAATGCCTCCCCTCAACAAAACACCCCTTCTCCCCAACCTACATCACAACGCCAGAACTCCATCCCACAACAGCAACCCACTTCCACTCAAAACTCATCCTCACCCTCACCTGCAGCAAATTCCCCCAGAACATCTCTACACTCTGCTGCATCTACCCTCAAGAAACAGCCTCTTCATCGCATTCTTTCCTCTGAAAGTGATAATAATGGCTTTCTGACATCCTCTCTTGCTGGAGACCTCACTTCAAAACGCTAACCTACTCCTCCTAGAGAACCTTCGCCCCAGAAACCCTCTCTGCAACAGACCAGAAGGCCTCCCTTGCATAAGTCCAGGGGACTAGGATTGCCATAGACTGAAGAATCTATACCTCAAATTCCCTTCAACAAGTTTGTTGAAACAGCAGAAGAATTTGGTGGTCAAGTCCTCGAAGGCATGGACAAACTCATCCAGATAAATGATAAGCACTTTGAGCACCTTGCTCATGTGAATGATAATCTCAATTCTGGGATGCAGTTTATCTCAGACCGCTTTGAAAACCTCACAGAATCTCTACACAACTTCATGGCCTCCTCCTTTGCCAGAACAGATGCACTGTCAACTGAAGTAGAAGGTATACATAAGACCCTATTCACCTTTCACCAAACTCTCATGGCTCAAGGCAAAGCAATTGAGACCATCTCCACCAATCTTGAAGATCTCCAATGGGCTGATACCAAAACAAAAGAATAGCTGTTGGACATAGAGGAACTCTGCAAAGTCCATCGTGATCAAACCAGGACTCTGTTTGCTCAAGACAAAGAGAGATACCAGAAACTGGTTCTTCTTGAAGCAAGTTCCAAGGACATTGCCTCAGCTGTTCATAAACAACAAGGTCTGATAGAAGGTCTTACTTCTGTCACTCAAACCTTACCAGAGGCCCTTGAGCAGATAGCCTCAGAGTTCCAGAAGATCAGCATGATGCTAGAGGACCTAAATGATGCCAAAAAGGGGGAAGAGGACCCTCAACAGACTAGGCCTCGGTCCACCAGAACTCCTGCTAGAGCATCCTCTTCTGCTGAACCAATAGTAGACCCTGCTCCATACTTTGAAGCTGCTTTGCAGAAAAAGAGAGCAGCAGGTATACCTAGACCCCCATCTCCAGCAAAGAAAGGCACCAAGAAGAAGAAGATCCCCAGCTTTACTAAATGGAGATTGGGTGGATCCCAGAAAATTGACAGAGCTCAATTTGAAGAAATGAAGGTAAAAATGACTCTCACCCATCAACAGAACCTCTTTCTGGAAAAAGATGGTGTTGTACGAGTCAGATATGGGGGGTCCTTAGAAGAAGCTGAAGAGTGGTACAAGAAGAATATTGTCCCTGGCAAGACAATACATGAAGGAGTTCTCAGCTATCTGGATTGCAAGCTTTCTCCCATATGGGCATCCTATCAAAGCTCTGGCAATTTATCTCAGATCAGAGCAGAAATTAATGAAGAGCTGCTAAGGCTTCAAAGATTGGAGGAAGAAGCTCTGCAAGCAGCTACTATGGAGAATGTGTAAGAAATATTTCTGTAAACCATATCTAATAAAATCACATCTCTGCCTTTTCACTTTGTACGGCTTTTCCTCAATTCCTGTCTCTTTGCTTTCTGTCTTTATTTGTTTGTTTTTTGAATTATTATCTGCTATCTGAATGTACTGCACTCTTACTATTTTCCTATGCCAAGTTGCCCACCAAGATTTTAATGAAAGTTTTAAACTTTAATTCTTTGTGGTGAAGGCACTTCTCTGGAAATAGTAAGGAATATTTGTAATTAGATTTTGATGATGCTAAATTGATTAGTACTTTAGAGTACCCCTCCTTAGACTTAATGTATTAGAATTTTCCTTTGTAAAATCCCTTAGTATAATCGACTTAGCAGAAGGCCTCCAGAGCAGAAGACCTACAAAGCAGAAGGCCTCCAGAGCAGAAGACCCTTGTTAAGGCATTGGTCGAACAGAGGACCTTTGGTTCTCTGCTTAAGAACAGAAGACCTCAGGGTCTCTGTTAGCCTTTACTCTGACAGAAACCCTCGTGGTTCTCTGTTGGATATCTTCTCAACAGAAGTGCTCAAGACCTTCTCTGATCAACTCTCTGCTAAAGACACCAGAAGGCCTGACACTTAGAAGAATTCCACCAAGTCGGGAAACCAACTGAAAGATTCATTCAACGGCTAGGAGTCTTGAACGGAAAAGCTACAGTACGCGCATTAAATGCACATTTAATGCTCCCCATACTCCGTAGAGTAATTGCAGATGATTGGCCGCAATGTCAGGATTACTTTATCCCAAAATAGCAACCCGCTAACTTTATCGGGTCCTACTGGTCAAGTCAACTGCTCGCTCATTTAATGCAGTTGTCCTCCTTCTCCTCCAACGGGAAGACAACCTCAGTATAAAAGATACACTACGAAGAACAACCGGTTAACTTTGCTAACTTTTGCTACAACTCGGCATACAAGATATTCAAACACTAAAAACGCAAAAAGCCTCCTTGAGATTAAAACTTCATCATCCTCTACAAGAGAAGGCAGAAGCTGGAAAAATCCTTATTTCCAACTCAAGCAAAGTTCCAAGTGTTCTTCAACTCTTCAAGCTCATCACATACAAACTCTTTGTAACGAAGCAAGTTGGAGGAACCTCTGTTCTAAATAGAACCTCTTCTTTCACAAGAAGGACGTCCAAGTACCTGGAGCTGTGAAGTGGTGATACTTCTGGAAAGCTCAGTGAAAGGACCAGTCTTAGGGAAGCCGAAAGTGCATCCAAGAAGACATCTACACTTGAAGAAGACGTGGAGAGCTTCTTAAGTGATAGGGCTAAGGCATTGTAAACGGAAGTTTTTACGACCTTAGTGGAACAGTGGACTAGAGGAACAAGTTGTTCCTTGAACCACTATAAAAAGCCCTGGTGTCATTTACTTACTGCTTTACATTCATAGTTTTTATTTGAACTGTTTAACTCCAAAGACTTGGTATCTGTGTTCAGCAGAACTGGTCTTGTGAGTTAACAGAAGGCCTACTGCCTTTGCTTCTCTGAGTCTACTAACAGAACTCCCTACCAGAACCCCATCCGCTGCTAGTCTGTTTTGTCAACAGAACAGGCTATTCTGTTAAATCTGGGACTTAGCTTGAAAAAGTTAAAAACCAATACAGTCTATTCAGCCCCCCCCTCTAGACTGTATCCAGTACAACCGGGACAAACACATAGCTAATTTTTGTGTGATTAAATATTATGTGTTTAATATTGGAATGAGTGTTTTATTACACTAAAATGAGTATAATGTGTAAACTAAATCTGCATTGGTGTAACAATAGAAAATAAGCATAGTAATATTTGTAATTCTAGAATAAAGATTTAATAAGATTGTTATGTTTCTCATGGCTATATGTATTGATATTTTAGTAAATGGATGTAATTATACTAAGTTGGTTTTTCATTAATTAATATACTTCATTTGTGGATTGGAGGAATAAATTTTATGCCATACTTAATGAGTATAACGTTTATAAGATGAGCACACACAAAAACAGATGAGTATACCGTCAAAATATACATACTAAGTTTTTTATTTTATCAATTAAAAAAATAGTAATAATGAAGTAAAAATTAGTGAGTGTCAAACGGAAAATAATGTTTGTGTACACAGACACTGCACAAATATAGATTGATTTGCATGCTGGTGTCATTGTCAAACGGCAGTCAGTGTAGTTTTTTACACGAAAATTAATGTTTGTAGACAAAGCCAAAAGTTTTCTGTGTACACAGGCAACTCCTGTCTGTTCTCACAGGTAACTCCGTACCAATTGTCTGTGACCGACATTTGTTATACAAGTTGTATACAACTTGTGTACCCCTAACATTCGAAAAAAGTAAAATAAAAGAAAAACAATTAAAACACATTTTCACGCCTAGGCTTCGACTAAACACACCTACACTCCAAAGACCTAGGGCTTGAATGTGCCGCCTCGGCACCATATTACTAGTCAAAATTAATTAGAGTTTTAAAGAATTTATCTACCAATATTTTATTTTAGGAATTGAACATATCATTGGAGGCAAACAACAACTGGAATTAGCTGCCATTCTTTCAGTCCTTGCGCGCTACCCGGATTGGATTTTTTGACAGCAACTGGAATGCCAACACCGACTCTCGAAGCTGCATAGGTTTTGGGGTCAATCCAACCCTTAAACACCTTTCCAAAACCTCCTTGTCCCAACACTGTATCTGGCCTAAAATTCCTCGTTGCACTCTCTAGCTCACTAAATTTGATAGGCTTTAAATTTGGCACCATAATATTCCCACTCGAAGGAATCACCTGACCACCACTACTGCTTGCTCCAACACCGTCCCCTTCCGGAGACGGCGGTGAGCGGGTGGTGGTGGTGCTTCTGCTTACGCTTACACTCTCGGTCGTGTGGCTTGGCTCGTTTTGGGTCGATACATTAGCATGAACTGTAAAAAGCCACGGAAGAAAGGAGGGAAACAAAGTAACACACAGAGGAAAGAAAATAAAGGAAAACAGAGTAAACGACAGGAAAAACAGAGGAAAACAGAGTAAGAGACTTAACAAAAACAGAGGAAAACAAAGTATGCATTACACCATCAGAAAACTATGAGAAAACGAACAGAGAGAATTGTTTTTAACTAGAAAAAAGTATCATATTAATGTGGAACTAATTATAAGTTGACCTACCTAAGTAAGTGTACTGTTATTTATTCTGCTAAACATGTGCTCTAATAGAGGAATAATGATTTATAATTGGTAGTACCTGAGCTGGGTTTTTTGTTGTTGGGAAAGTGATCTGCAGGCTTAGGACAACAGTTTCCCAATTCCCATGACTCACTCTTGTGATTTCTATTTCTTCTACTGTTTGAATTGAAATGGAGAAAGTATTATTATTGAAAAGGGAAATGTTATTTGGAAGGAACAAGAGGAAAATACTATCGGTATATGTAGGCTCTATATTCTCTTTCCGTAAATGGAGTTAATCAGAAAGAGCGGTAGTGAAACCGTTTTTTCTTAGGCCGCAGACTTTTCTTCTATATGCATGTAATAAGGAGTACTTCGCATTCCGTCCAATTCACGCGTATCGGTGGATTTCTTTCACACGTGTACTAATGGATTAGTTTCACAAAGGATATAAAGTGCACTATAATCTCAATCTGATAGATAGAGTAGAATTCTGTCACCTGTACATGCAGAGGCCCTATGCATTTTTATCATAGTAACCCCTCATTGCAGTTGACGGGATTCGAACCCGGGACCTAACCATTGTGGCACTCCCTTACTACCAGTTGAGCTACGCCCACCGGTACTAATGGATTAGTTTCACTCTTTTACTTTAGAGCTATGATCCCTATTTTCAACTTATAATTTTATACTGCGTAAAACATTTTTTTATCGAACACGTAACTTTTGATTTAGGAACTAAATGTTGTAATAATCAAAATAAATAAGCTTATACTTACTTTTCTAGCTGTATCGGCTAGAGTTAGAGGATCATGTTACAATCTTTTCATATATTTTTTTGTTTACTTTATTAATAAAATATACTTTATCTATAATTTATAAATCGACATATTCAGTCAATTCAACCACTTTCAACTGATTCAGCCGATTCAGTGTTACCAAACGAGCCCTTAATCTTAAACCCGAATTCTTTTTTTATTTGCTACTCCCACCCTCCGGATAAGATTGTATCATCTTTCATTTTTGGTTGGTCCCACTAAAATTATCTCATATCAAATTTTATAATGTTTGTGTAGTTCGAAGTCATTCTTATTTTATTTTCACTTTATCAATTCAATATCAACCACATAAACTACTTTTCAACTATATCATTTCCTCTTATACCAACTTATATCAATGTTAGAGGGGTGGATGTAGTATTAGAAAGGTGAAGCAGTTCACCGATTTAGTATTCTCTTCATCCCTAATTTATCTCTTGAAGTACAAATGATACAAGAATTAAGATATTGGGTATTGTGTAGTTGAGAAATGTGTAGAGGAGAGAAAAAAGTTTAAAAACATGTAAGAAATGCTATGAACCACAAATTTTTTGTTAAAAACGGAATGATGGGATAATTTTGGGACGGACAAAAAAGGAAAGTTTAAAGATAATATTGAGACAGAGGGAACATTAAGGCGGAATCGGTGTAGGGGGGGGGGGGGGTAAAGTCATTAAAGGTTGTAATTGTCATTTTAAAGTTAAACCATGTTTTAATAAATACATTGGTCTCGTGAAGTAATCATACGTTTATTAAATCTCTTAATAAAATCCGAGTTAGTAAAACATATTTTAATAAAAGAACACTTATTAACTCATGTAATAAACATGTCCTAGAGATTTTAGTTTCTTAAAAGCTATTGTATTTAAATTCTAAAGGAAACAAATTTGTAGCTTAGCATATACGAAGTATGACCTAAATGGCTAGTTAATGAGAAGAAAGCATCGCATTATAGGAAGTAACAAAGGAGAGGACACTCAGGGCAGCAGCACATGGCTGCGGGCAAATCAAAGAGATATACAAAAAATGAGACAAGAGGAAGAGGATAGGCAGCAACTCTTGGCCGGTTGGGAAAAGATGATTGGCGGCGGAACAAAGCAGAAAACGTAGCTCGATTGGCGGGGTACTCATGTTCATCCGTTGCTATTTTAATGTTTTGTGTTAATTCATGTTTTAATAAGGGGAAAAATTCCTATTTTCAAAAAAAAAAAGGGGGGGGGGGGGGGGGGGGGGGAATTCCTTAATATTAGCTGGGCCCAAAGAAATTCCAAAAAACTGGTGGAAATTACCCGTCCAATTTGCTGGACTACATATCATTTATGTCCCACTTAGTTTTACTTTTCATTTTTAACTTTTGGATTTTCAATTGTGTTTTATTCTTTTGACTTCTAGACTATTCTTTCTACGCTGTACTCGTATACGAGAAGGATGAAGGCCAATTTTAAGCAACACGAAGTCCGAAGATGGCCGGACAAATATACGGTTCGGAACCCTCGTCGCGCATCTTCGAGGACCAAAAGAACCCTCATCGCGGTTTTCACTCTTACTACCAGTGCAATCTGCACGGATGGGGAGTTCAAAGGAGGCCATTGCTAGACCGTTTAACCGACAGAGAAGGTTGGGATTTCATAGGAGATACCTGGGACCAATCGGTATCTAGCCATCTCGCGACGGGAGTGTTTCCATCGGAGATGCATTCAGGGCTTCAAAACGAGCGAAGAACCCTCTCGACCTGCCTTCCCAAGGTCTCCGGCCCAATCTGCAAGCACTCTGCGGAACTCCAAATTCGTAGACGGCGGGCCTGCACGCCCTTCTGCGGCCAGACAAGTTATCTTCTCCCAACCACAGAAATCTGGATCTAAATGGGCCCGCACTCATCAACTACCCTCAAAGCTGAAATTCAAGAGTATTTCTAATCGATTTGTGAGGTACGTACTCAGATGTTGATTTTGAACCATCTCCAGATGTTCTTTAGGCCAACAATGAGGGATGGCAGTGAGGTATCGACGAATCAGGGACTGAGGTTTGGAGATCGATCAAGTGAAGACTTGGGGGAGGAATGAGCTGTGAGCGGCAACAGAGTTCATACTCAAGATTGTTCGCGGGTGGCTGTTGTGTTGGTCCCCACCTGGGTATAATTCCAGATTCATTTCTTCTTCTTCTTATGCATGTTAACAAATGCAAACATAAATAAACAAAAAAAAAACAATATTAAACAACAGTAATTGAAAATTCATCAACAAAAAGCAACAAGGTGAAATAAAAAACAACAATATATAATTGATGCTGGACCTTGTATTGGAATTAATTATTGCCAAAAAAATTGAAGTGTTTTACATAAAACAAATTGGTTCCAGTGAGGCACTCGTGATGAAGCCTTGATGATTTGCAGAAGAAACTCTTTCAAAAATTCAAAGGAACTAAACTGAAGTGAAGTGACCTAAATTATGTAGCTAAAATCACATTCTTAGCATTTTGGAAAATGGGATTAGATGTTTATTGGTGAAACCTGCAGGAAAGAGATCTTTGATCTAACCATGTTCCAACCTACTAAGCTCTAGCTAATGGGGTTTGATATTTATTGGCAAATGGGGTTAGATGTATATTAATGAGCCATCCTTAGATTTACAACCCTCACACTAGCAAGCTCTAGTAGAAAAGTTTCATAACTCTGTCACTCGTAAAAATCAACTCACAACAATCTTCTACTGACTTATGCTTTTAGTTAGCTAATCAGTAATGACCTCTGGTTTGAGACATTAGAGAGAGCATAAGTACATGTAGAGATGTGAAGTAAAGCTTAATTGCTTATGAAATGTTTGCCACCATAATTTACATTGACAAACATAATTGCATCAGTTTCTAGTTTTGCATGCCTAAATCTGATGGATGAGCATTGCAGTCTTGAAGAAAGACATGTGCCTTTTAATAGCAAACGAGTCCACAAAGCCATATGTATGGAGTTGTGTTTTGTGCTCATTTAAAACAACCACAACTTGCTCTATATTGAATAAATTTTGAGTATTCTTTTTCTAAATTTTAGGAACTTTTATATAAGCTTTAAAGAAAGTATTCCCCTGGTCCTAAGCATTAGTTATTTAAGCAGAAGAAGGTTTCTTCCACTGTAAGCATTCATTCTTAACTTAGACTTCTATTACATGCTCTAGACAGCTTATAGTTGAAGCAGACATTTTGTTGGTCCCGTTTATAATGGGAACAGTCTAGAGGGGGGGGGGGGGTGAATAGACTGTTCTGGATTTTCAAACTTTTCTCTAAGTCACTACTGACTTATCAGAGATGGTCGAAATCTGGTGACAGAGAAGGTCAAGTTCTGCTGGCAGAACGGGACCTGGCAGAGGATAGGTTTCTGTCCGGGTAGCCTCAGAAAACATTAAGGCAAATGCCTTTCTGATAACTCTTAAGGGAGATCTGCTGATCACAGAGTCCAACCTTTTGAGTTAAACAGTCAAAATCTTAAGTGCAGAAATAAATGCGTAAAGTAAATGACACCAGGGATTTTTATAGTGGTTTAAGGAACAACATGTTCCTCTAGTCCACTGTTCCACTAAGCTTGCAAAAACAACAGTTTACAACGCCTTAGTCCCTAGAACTTAAGAAGCACTCCTCGTCTTCTTCAAGCCTAGTTGCCACCCGAGATGCAGTCATGCTTCCTGATGGCTGGTCTCGTTTCACTGAGTCTCTTGGAAGTGTCCCCACTTCACTTACTTCAGTTAGTTTGAGACATCCCTTCTTTTTCAAGAAGTGTTTGATTCAAGATCAGTTTTCTCCAACGTTGCTTCTTCACAAAAGATATGTAGATGAGGCTTTCGAAGTGTTGAAGAACTGGAGGAACTTTGCTCTTTGTTGGATGAGAGGATAGGAGTTGATATCTTTCCAACGTAAGCTTTTCTTGTTGAAGTGAATGAATTTGAAATCTCAAGAAAGCTTGTATGCTGAAGTGTAGAGCAGAGGATTAGCAAAGTTATAGAGCAAAAATTATCCTGGTAGTTCTTCGTAGTGTATCTTATATACTGGGAGCAGTCTTCCCGTTAGAGTGTAGAAGACAGCTTCATTAAATGCTTGTACTGTTGATTTGACCGGTTGGACCTTCGACTTGCTATTTTGGGGGCGTGAAGATACCCGCATGGTCAATCATCAGCTTTAAATATATCTTCGTACGTACATCATTAATTGAGCATTTAATGCGTGTACAGTACTATGTTTCCCTCGAATGGCTCCTAGCCGTTAGAGGATTTCCCGTTAGTTTCACGGCCATTGGTAAGTGTCTTCGAATTCTGCTAAGTAAGAGCAAGTCTGATGAAATTCTTCATCTGTGCAAATTGAGCTCTGTCAGGCTTTGATAAACCACTCTTCATCCATTCGTTGAATGAGATGTTGGAAGACTTCTTCTTAGATCCTCTAGGAGGTGGAGGTGGTGGTCTGTAAGTTCCAGCTGCAATCTTCTTTTTCTTAGCAGCTTCATAGT